CTTGAATAGACAGCTCAGCAAACAAAGAATGTGCACTGACACCTTGAGGAAGTGTCTCCAGATCCAAAGATATGGGGCGCTCTCCACCCTGTCTGCTACCCTCTCTCCTAATCACATCAACAGGTGAAGACCCAGCATTAGGTATCAATTCAGGTGTGGAGGCCATGATGGCTGCAGCATCATTACTCAGGTGAACAAAGCTTCCATCTGGAGGAGTTTGAGATTCTCCAGAAATCACTCTTTCAACATCAGTCACTGTCATGATTGGCATGTTGTCGACATCTGTAAGGTGACAGGTTCCTGTATTTAAACTCTGTAGTGAACTGGTTGTGTTTGATGGTGAGCCTTTCACAATGTCTCCAATGCTGTTACTATCCAGCTTATCACCACTTATGGCGACAAAACCACTACCAGGAGATCCATGAACATTTTGGGCAGCAGGAGAAACTTCTCCAACACCAGTTTTTTTCTCAGTCTCACTACCTGCAAGGTAGAAATGGAACAAGTGTTAATTGTTAAGAATTACACTCTTAAATAAGGTCTTACATGTATATTCATGAGTAAATACTCACCTCAGCTTAATCGGCAATTCATGAGCAATCACAGACAAAATCAAGGAAAAAAGAAACAAAGAAGGCTACAAACCTTTCCCTTTACCAGCAAGTTGTTCCTCTTCAAGTGACATCTCATTGCTGTCTCCTCTGTGAGGCGATGGAGGTACAACCATGTCACCATCAATGCTCTTGGGTCCCCCTGGAGAGGTGCCAGGTAGCAAATCTGTTAAAGAGTTGACAGGTGTTCCAATGGGAGAGCGTGGTGAGTCTGTTGAGACAGTTCTTGGTCTGTTGGAAGTGAAAGGAGTAAAGGATTAAATCTAGCAAGTACTCAATGCCAAACAACAGAAAACATATTAACTACATTGACTTAGGAAGATCCACAAAACTTTTCAATCAGTTGGGATCTCCAATTTCAGTCCTATGACCTCTCACTACATTTTTGACTTCTGAAAACTTCCTAAAGTACTTAATATCCTCAATAGACTCCAGATACTCAATTACACTTCTCACCAACAGTGAAGAGATTGACAACAACAAAGGAAAAATTCATACCTTGAAAACTAACTTCCCGCAAAAACAAGCTCATACTGAAAGATTAGGGAATCATTTGTGAGTTCACTGTGAGTTATGATTGTTACCTAAAAGGAGTCCTGGATGGTGTATCTGCTGTGGAGCCTGAACCTTTTCTGTCCTCTCTCTGCAGCCGCTCCATGTGTTGATGGAGTAACTGACACAAATTTGCAGAAAAAAACAATTTTTAGTTTAAGCCTGACTAAATTTTTAATTTTAAGCATAGCCCTAATCAAATGCTTCACGCATGCCACTCATATGTCAAACAATTATTACCTGTGAAGCTCATTGTCAGTAACTAGATCAGCCAAGTTCACAATCACAGCTGTAACAGACTACTGACAGGGTTCTCACCCTCTTTTAGAGACAAATTTCAAGGACTTTTCCAGAACTCAGATTGATCTTTTAGGACCCCACATTTCACCTTCAACCCTTCATTCCCAAGATTTCAAAATCAATTCTCCTTATAGTCTACATACATTTCCTTTAACATATATTCTAAAACCTTTATTGCTTGGGTTAAGCAGATTTTCAGGACCTTTCAAGACCTTTAGTCTTTTTCTAGGACTTTTGAGTCCTTCAAAATGTGAAAATAAAATCCCAGGACCTGTATGAACCATCTACTGATGGGTTAAAAAGTCATTTTCAAAGAGACACAAAATATTTGAAAAAACATAAATTTAGTGACTTACAATGTTGCAACTACAGATGAATTAGAAATGTAGTTAGGATTGGTTCATATGCACCCTATGCATAAATGGCAGACTTGATTAGTATTCTTTTGCCTTCACATAGATTAGCCCAATGGGCCTTGTCAGTTTGTCTAAAGAACAGTCACTCCTTTACTCAAAGATAAGGTTAGTTGGGTTAATTTACTTGACCACAAAATACTACCAGTCAGGCCTGCCATGTATACATACTGACTATTAAGCACAACATTCCACTAGAACCTGGTTAAAAACAGTTTTTCATGGACTTTGCTATTCTTGCTCCTTTGTGGTTATTTCCAAGCCATGACATTTTATATTTGGACAGTAGTCTGTTGTTTTCCAGGTCAAAACATCACCCAAACAAAAGGTGACTCACCTCTGAATGTCTTTCATGAAGAGTATGATATTCACGTTTCATCTCTGATATCCTTTCATCCTGCCGTTCAACTTAAAATAAGAAATTTTGTCAGCACAAAAGAGACTTTTTTAAGTCACTATTGAGACTACAGTGATATGCTAAAATATTTTGTATCACTAACTGTGGTCTTGGTAACTTTTGATTCGAGATTCCAGACTTTTATTGTCATGCTCTAAGGTATCAATCTGCTTGTGAGATTCTCTCTTTTCAGCTTCAATCTGATCCTCTATCTCCAGATATCTCTGAAATAAAAGTAAATAAATATTTTCTTATGTTACCTCTCATTTCTTTACTGACACTAATTAAAAATTGTTTCACACTCCCCCATAAAAATATTATTCCATCAAGGGCCTTGTTAATTAAAACCCACAGACTTGCATGTAACTGTCTGTTTATTTTGGATGGATTGTAAATTAAGGCAAAATATTGTACCAATTGAGGTTAAACCAGGTCAAGCATGACATGACATCGATAAATCTTAACATTATTAACAGTACAATTTTTTCAACCATTAATAACCAGCAAAATATAACCAAACAGTTGGCAGAGAAACCACCAGCTTCTATTTATAATGATGAAATAATCTCAAGGTATTGGTTACGGTTTGCTGTTAAGGCTAAAAGGTATACGCACAGTTTGACAACACAATAATTTAAGTAAATGTTTATACTACTTAATTATGTCCTTGCCATCATCCTCTAATAATTTTCAGCTAAACATGACAAAAACTCTCAATATCTTAAAATTTTTGGTGCTTAACAACTTTTTTTCTTACTAGCCCATGAAGCACTGATGACCAGGCATGTATCTGTTGCACAAAAAAATATTTAACATAATTCCAAATGGCCTAAAGAAATAGCCACATTAATTTATGTATAGCACTTTCAAATTGGAAACAAATTTTAGCATTAAATACAGTCAGCGACTGTGGTAAATATACCGTGAAATGAAATTTCATTTACATGGTTTTAATAATATGGGAACGAAAAAAAACACTGAAGTCTTTAGAATCAAAGCAAGATTATTATTTTCGAAAAGACAACGCCTTCCCTAAATGCACTGTCAAAAATGGAACAACAAAAATGGTACAACAAGAAAAAATGATTTAAATAGTTAACATCAAAAGAAAGATACATAAATTTCTCATATACACATTTTTCCAATTCCAGTGGTAGAATGCTATTATTTGTGCTGGTGTGAAAAGAGAAACTATTACTAAATCTCAAATACGAGGGGCTGATATATATAACAATTTATGTACAAAAACATAAGACATAGCTTCCCCTAACCGAAAAATTCGCTGGTAAAATACTAAAGGATTAATTTTACTTAGGGGAATAACTAAAGAGGAGATAACATATACCACTTACGTTTTCCGCCAGCTTTCTGAGTTGCTTTTCCCTTTCATATTGAGTAATGAGCTGCTCGTTATCATCACTCAATATTTCCAACTCAACTAACTGCTCGTTGTTGTCTCCATAGGCACTATCCAGTTGTTCTAACACAGACACCATAAGTGGCATAAGTCCTGACACAACGTCTTGATCATATTTTTGAATCATTCGTTCGAACTCGCTGTAAATACTGTTAGCGAGATTGGACACTCTTTCCGACATAACTGTAGCGCCTCCTTCATCTCCACTGGAGTACACTACGTCGTTTTTCTCTTCTTCGCCCTCCATATCGCATTGATTTCTTTTGAGGCAAAAGAAGAACACCTAAGCTATATTCTCTGGATAACTGGTAACAGATAAACCTTGAAAACAGTCGTTGTTTGCCATTATTCCTCCGCTTCCCTTCACAGACATCTTCGCGAGATTTCCATAATGTTGGGGGGGTCTGGTAATGAAATTTTGTTGATGCTCACTCAGCCAATCAAAATTCATCATTGAAGATAAAAATAATTCAATTAATTTTGTCAAGCATCTGATTTTCTTCAAGAGTTCTATAAACGTGGGCGAACCTGACAACAAATTTCAGCAAATTTTGTCATTTTATTTAGAGTCTGAGTACATCAGCGTATTACAAGAAAGAAAACATTTGACGTCAAAAAAGATATAATCTATTAAAAAAGTTATCTTCTCAAGAAACCAAACAGGAAACACCCTGCCTGTTTCAATAGGAAATCAGAGTGTGCAGGAAAGCCTAGAGTAGCCTGCGGTAAGGATGATTTTTCTCGACCTTTCCATAAAGACATGTTTGTGCTTTAAGCTACTATTTTTCAGTAACTTAATAACACAAAGACGATATGATTCTTCCTTCGATCAAAGCACGAACCCCATTGGCTCTTCATTATGAGCTATTTTAAGCATCATCATTTTCTACCAAAACTGACAAAATGACGCAGACCCAACAGACTAGCGGCAAACTCAAAGTCTGCACCGGTTGCAATACGACCATTATTATTCCGGATACTCAAATAAAATGAAAGCAGAACTAATCAGATTAGTATAGTAGCTAAACTTACAAGGCAACAAATGATTATGTTTCTTATGGATGATTCCTTATTTTCCAGTAAAAAGATAAAAGTTACTTTGTTTTGGCCTCGGAAGCCACTTTTATACACCCTACAGGTCTAAGATTGCCTGCTATTCTTCAGAGAGCAATCAGCCAATTTGCTCATGGCTGCAACATGTAAACCGGCTGCTCATACTCAGGCTACTTAGGTTACGCTCCACCTATTACCACAATGAAATGGTGCAATTTCTTCCAGAACTGGCGAGAACAAAAACGGAAATTACCTCAGTGTGGCTACATGAAGGCATTTTTGACGGATCCTTGTCGTTGAAACACACTCGGATTGAATGGTAACAGTTGGACTTTACTCAGTTCTAGTGGCTAATTTCTGTATCAGGACTCTTAATGTTCGGTGTAGGGAAGTAAAAATTCTGGCTACTGGAAATGAGTTGGCACGAACATTTGCACACCCATCTATAGTTTTCTTCACGCAGAAAAAATTCAAATTAACCCAGAATAATTCTAAGAAAGTAATAAATGCAAAACTCCGTCGAAGACACCTGCTGAATCCATCCAATCGCAAGTTACTAACTAGCAGCTAGCTTGTGGTGTTCCCGCCATTCCCGTAAACGAGCATGCACATGTAGTCTGAGGATTGTCTTAAGTTGTAGGAAGCGTTGATTTCTTAATAAATTAGAGGTCATTACTGATTTGGTTTTTTTCTGCACGGAGGAAAACTTATTCACGGCAGGGAATTAATATATTGAAATGTTATTTTACTTTTCTCTTATCTCCATCCCTCCCCTCCCCCCTTGCCAACTTTCCCTGACATTTTGGTTGAACAGGTCTGAAAAAAAAAAACCAATCATAGAGGGAAAATATCAAATGTGCTCCTGTTTTGTGTATTTAAGTATCTATTATTTGTTTGTATATTTTCATTCATTCAATAAACTTTCCATTTGTCTGCTTCGCAGCCATTGTTTGGTCTTGTAACGCAAAACCGTAAACTAATACATTAATTCTCTTATTCTTCTTAATATTTTGCCATTTATTATCTATCTGTTTGTCGATTCCTTTCACGCATGAGTTCTGTTGAGACTGGCATAAAAAGACACGAATGGTATCGAAGAGTTGGCTTACGTAATTGGCATGAGCGACTGGGAAACCCACGGAATAATACCACTTAAACGTTGCGTTACTGATTGAAGACACGGAAAAACACATGGTACCACGTGCATTCTACCAGGTCATTATCGTCTGAAATATGCTCCTCAATCAAATTGAAATCAAGAAGTTTTTCTTTCAGTTCAAACGGGGAAAATCTCTTGCGTGGAAAGCGAAAACATCGCACTATAAACCTTGCATTGTCCTCTTTGTTTTGAAGAGTATGAATAATAATTGTATTCAAATTAAGCAAACTGATTGATTTGCATCGCAAAGGGTTACGTGGATAACACTCATTCCCTTATTGAATTTTTTCATGCCTGACCAAAAAATTGAGCTCTTGGAAACCGCGTGGAATGGACTAAACTGAACCCGTTGGGCTCGGATATCCTCGACGAAAGAGAAAGAGAACGTAACAACAGAGTATTAACGCAGCTGAACCAGCAGCAAAGAACCTCTTAGGTGCACACAAGAATACAACTGATCATCACTGGACCGAGTACAGCGCTCACTCAAGTGATTAAAATTTATTACATACACATATTCTTTTCCCTCGAATCGAAAATCTGCTTTGTGTTTCACTGCTGCCGGAGCAGAACTTCCAAGAAACCCAGTTGAAGCCGTATAATGTACACAACCTCGGAATACTCGATGAAAACAATGGGCTTGATTGCAAATTTGCTTTGCCTCTTCCTTGTTGTTGATGCGTCACATGAAAACCGAGGAGGAAAAATCGACGCTTTGGCCGACAAAGTCAACTTAAGCGACAATTATATCGTTGAATGGCGCATTAATGAAAAGGCATCTAGCGTGGAGTTCAAAATCAACGTTATGGTCGACGATAAAGGTTGGGTTTTGCTAGGATTTATGGATGTACCGAAAAATCAATCTGCGGCCAAAAGTAAGCCGGGAAGCATAAAAGATTCTCGCGGAGATTTTGTGATCACTTGGCCGACCTCCGCACCAAAGGAGAGGACCACAGTGGTATGATGCCTACTTGTTATAAACGACTTTCTAATATCACGCCCACTGGATCCAATTAGGAAGGTTAACTTATCTATACCTTGCTCTTTCAATTGGACGAAATCAAAAGCACAAGCTATTTGGGTTTCTGGAGGGATAAGGATAATTCAGCCTAAAAATAAGATTTTTGCATTTTAAATTTAACGGGTACATTCCATTGTGACTCAGGCAGACGCAAAACTGAACAGTTTCTGTACTTCTCTCGATTCGGCAAGAAGCGCAGATAAAATAATTCAGAGAAAACATTAATCCACTCGGAACTTTTTGTCCTTACGTACTATGCTTTGTTTCCAGTCAAAAGAGAGGATCTATGTAGAATGATTATCATTAAGATAGTTATAAATCAAGGGATTACATTGCTGATCCCCTGACCGGACGCCTAAATACTGCAGAGAGTTGTAGCCCCCTACCAAACTCTTAGGGCCGGTTTAGGTTAGGGCCGGCCAGAGTTTGGCCGTTGTTCTTAACTATCTTGAATTTTCTGAATCTTTTATCTAAACAATTCTTTTTGTGAACAGTGTAATAAGGGCCGAAAGCTAGCAGTAGAAAGACATTCATTTAATGAAAACAACCCTCTTAGAGAGTATGTGTATGGCTCACTGCTTGCGTAATACTGCGGTTTGTGTTACAACCGGCTCTTGAATTTCACAGGAAAATACCCCTTTATTCTCATCGCCTTAAATTAGGCCATAGAGGTTAGAGCAAGTCACATCTTTTCCAGTGGTACCTGATTCAAACTCTTACCACGTACTTGTATTTTTCAGGACGCGAATACAATGGAAAAACCTGGTGAATTAGAGAAGGATGAAAATTCTACTCTGGATTATCAAGTGACATTGGATCAAACAACTACAAACAAATCAAGAGGATTGGTTCTCAAAATTACAAGGAAACTGGAGACTGGTGACCCTCAAGATGTGCCCATCACTGTAAGTTAGTTTTCTTAAATTTTTTCAGAAACGTTATCACATAAAAAGGCCCCAAGAAAGGGGCTCTCTTTAGTGTGTCTGCCATTTAGCCTCTAACCTGTGAACTTGTACTGTATTCTTCCCTGTTATCATCACTTCTTCTCTTTTCTTAGAGAACAGGTTCAACTATTAGAAGGAGTGTAATCCGCACCATTGTAGCAGCTAGTTCATTTCACTTTGAGTCTGATATCAACGAATTTCCTCAGCACATGTTTAAATATTTTCTTGAACTCCTCAAGTTTGTTGACTAGATTACTAACCAAACCGTGAGTGGAGTTATGTGGACGGCCTTTGGGTCCAAGGGAACGATGTAAAGTAAAATAACAAAGAGGTATATAATTTTCTGTCAGGAGCAGCCCTTGTGGATGTTTGGGGCATATGGAAATTCAGATGCTTATCTAACAGACCTTTCCAACGTCACTAACATTGACGACACTCTGAAAGTTAAGGAGGTTATCATCATGAAAAATAGCAGGAACAAAGATAATGGCAAATCATTTTGGAAAGGTACTGAATATGTTGCACTATTTAGAAATGTTGGGAATGAAGACAACTTGAGTGAGGATGACAAAAGTTCAGGAAGAGAGATAAATTAAGAAAAATTAAAGAAACTGCATTTTACTAAATATTATAAGGATGGAAGCTGGTGTGAGGATCTCACACTGTTAACATCACTCTCAGAGATGCATGATTCATTGCAATGATTAGCTAACCTAAGTCAGCACTTGAGCCAAATGCCCCACATTGGTGTAGGTTATACTGTTTCCTGTATCATGATGCAATAACGGTTATTGCTCTAAGGGTCCCCTCCCTAGAATTTGCTCAGGTTTCCCTAACAGTTCATTGGTATCAAAAGTAAAGAATCCTGCCAAAGAACACAACGCGATGACCCAGCCAGATCTCTAGCCTGGATCTTTTATCAAGGAGTCCAGTACATATGTCACAAGTATTGAAATAAAAATACTATTGAGAATAACATACAAAGGGAATCTGAGACTAAAATCTAAAAACTTTGCATAACTTTCTGAATTTAGATCAAGTGGAGAAGCACTGGATTTCTGTTGTGTTAGCAGTATCTGGAATTCTCACATTTGTTATTATTGGAGCAGTTTACTGCTGCTTTAGAAAGGGAAGTAGAGATTTCCATGGAAAGAAAGTCAAAATGAATTTCTACAAAGAGTAAGTTTTGTTTCATTGTTGAGGTTGAGAACATATATTGATTCTTCCTTTAAAAATTAGAAAAAAATGTCTGAACTCCTACTATAGTAACTAAACTTCCATTAGTTTCAAGTTTTAAAAAGAGACTATGACTTCTTTTTCAGTGGCATGCTAGTTTTATCATAAGTACTTTTATCACTACTACTGTATGTTCCCTTCCTGATGGCATCTGGTTTTATAACCATCAAACTTCAATGGAAATATTCTACATAAAAATAAAAATTCAGCAGTCAAATAAAAGATTTAAAAAATGCATGTATTATCAACACAAAACTAGCAATAAGTAAGTCAATTTAAACAGCACTAACTCTCTCTCAATTTCATTTTAGAGATGAAGATGATGAGGCTCGTGTTGCTTTCCTCCAGTCACGCACCTAATGATCGATAAGAAGCAGAGTAAGAATACATTGACCAATGATTGCCTTGACAGTTCCCCTCCAGCTTACAGTAGACAACTTTGCCTTCTCATTAACAGTATTCAGATCAGAGAGAAGAGGCTGCAAGGCGTAGAAACAAAATTTAAAAGGCATTGTACCTTTTAACTTTATCTAGAGGAGCCATATTTGTACAAGAGTAGTGACCGTCATTTGCAACTTCTCTCCCTTTAAGATCTTGTCCTGTTCTTAAGGGAAAAAACAACTTTGCCTGGTGACAAATATTTGGTAGTTTTAGAGTATGTTAAGCATAAAATACCTTTGATAATAGAAGACTGCAGTTTTTTGCTGTATATTTTACTACTTGAGGAAATTAGGTCAAAGCAGAAGTGTTTAAAAGTTTGAAAACCTGCCTTCTTATTTTCTCAACCATCAAGTTTACTAGCATCTTTTGAAAGAACAAAAATAACTATCATGAGAGTAAAACCACTTGAAGAGCAGTCAATTGTGAATGCCTTTTCCAGTCCAGTCCAGTGACCTAATCTTTATCACTTCAATCAATCCCTCCATCCAAACAATTCCATAATATTGTAAGAAGTAAGAATATTTTCTGACTGTATATGAAGCAGCCATCATTGTAATAGAAAGTAACATGGTTGGTAGTTTAATATCTTAAGATGATAAATAAATTACTAGTACAACCAATAGTTTTCACAACCTTTCATAAAAACTTAAGGGTAAAGAGGGCTTTAATTAAGAAAAACCATAACAAAAAACAAAACACATTAAAGAAAAAATTTTAAAAGGTAGCCTCATTTTATTGAATATAATGCTTTTTGTAAGAGTTATGGAGTGGTGAGATTCATCTTTACAATCTTGTAACATTCAATCCATGGTTATTGCTAAGACAAAGACTTCTTTTCTTTTAAACTTTTCAGTTCTATTTATAACTTTTTTAATTGCTTTTAGTCTGCTGCTTTTCAAAAACTTAGTAGAATAGCAAATAAATGTTTCAGCAAGGCATGCACTCTAATTTACAGTTATTTAGTATGTGCTAAGTTATATAAAATGTCTTTGAAATACTTGTGTATACATTTATAAAACCAATCATGGTTGGACAACATCTTTGAAATCTGTTTAGTAAATAATAAACAACAATCTTTTTACCATGATTCATCTCCTTTCGAATTTTGTTTTCTGTTTAACCCTTTAAGTCCCCCTAGTGACCAAGACAGAATTTCTCCTTACATTATCAGTATGATATCAAGCAGACAAGAATGAGAATTAAAAAAATATCAATTGGGCAACTACTGGTTGATCCAATTCTAAATTCTCCAACTAGCATCACATAAGTTGTATGGCAGACAGTAAGGAGAATTAGTCATGAAATCTTGGGAGTTAGAGGGTTAAGTACTGCAGGTCATAAGAGGCTACAAGTATTTAACATAAGAGTGATCTGATCTAACAATGTTTTATCAGACCACCCACCTCCACAGACACAATGATATTGCTAAAAAAAAATTTGACTCCCTAAAAACACAAATTAGCTTTTCCCTAATGAACAAAACAGTAAAATAGTTTTCACAACTCATCCATGATGTACGAGGTTTACAGGTTTGAGTTCTTGAAAACCACACTATGCAGTCATTTAGCTGATGAACATCCATTTTCTTGAACAATACTTTAATTCTGCACTGTCTTCAAGATTTCACCACTGGATTGGAATCAGATGTTCTTAAAGAAATGATGCATAGACAAACCAGAGTGCCAAACATAATGAAGATCGTTGTTTAAAAAACCACATCCACAACATAGGAAAAAACATGATTCATGAACCACAGGGTTCCCTCAAGCCACCGGAACTATCCAGCAAAGGCTTTGTATGCATAAGGAGCTATAAAAGAACAACAAAGATTACTTTTATGATGGAATTTTAAGAGAGCTAAACCTCTCCTTCCCATGTGATACAATACAATATAGTAGCCTTTTAACTACACAACAGTAATGAAACTGATGATGCTATGGCCCTCAATAACATCAATATAATTTCCGCAGAGCCCTATACTATTCTAAAACAAAGCTGTAGTCCCAAAGAAAAATCTATGGTTTTTCCCATTGTTTTAGTCATCCCAGAAGTGTGAGCATAATAAAGCATGGAGCTATGCAGAAATCATACCTAAAAAATTAAGTTAGTAATGCTTCTAAATAAAATTAGACCCAAATGAGATGACAGACTAGCCATACCTTAAAAAGGAAAAAAAATCACCATAGCCAAAAATTTTTTATACCAGAATAGTACTAGTCCTGCTCTAGAGATGTCAGTGGCAACATACATTTAAACCAGGATTAGATTCAACCTGGAATAACTAAAATTTCAAGAAAGAATTCGTTGATTGTTGGAAATTGGAAGCAATTACAAACTAGGTTCACCTAATCTCTTGCTCGTGAGAAAATGTTCCTTCCCAGATTAAATTTGAGATTTGGTGAAACTAGCAATCAATTTCAATGATCGTATGACTCTGATAGCAAACAAGTTGATTGTATGAAAGATCTCCTCTTTAGATGGGATTCAAATTTAGTGGAACTTTCAATCAATTCTAATGATCAGATGACTGTGATAGCCCCTAGTTGTTTATTTAAAAGTTCTCCTCTTTAGATGGGATTTAGATTTAGTGAAACTGTCAATAAATTTTAGTGAACGCATAGCTGTAATGGAGGAGGAGAGTTCTCCTCACTCAAGGCAGTGAAAGACTCTTCAGAGGAAGTATTACATGAATAGTTCTGCAAACGAACAAGACAGCAAGATGTCGTAATTATATCGCTTTATCTCTGATTATCACACATTTAACTCAAGGGTACTATAGCTCACAGTAAAGTTCTCACCTAAGCGTAAAAACGCCACGTAGGCTACAAAGACTTTCATTGTGAACGAAACATTTTGTTTAGCTTTCCTCTTTTCTGCCTCCACAGCAGCCCTATCAGGTGATCCATCAACTCCAGGTAGACGGAACATAATTAATGAACACCAACCAGTGCTATCGATGAGAAAGAGGTGGAACGGAACGCGACAACTTTCGCAGATCTACGCAAACCTCGCAAACCTACCACGCGATTTCCGCGTAACTACGTCACTTACAGTGAACGAATAGTCATCTTCGTTCCAGTGTCCCCTTTTTCTCACTCGGGCTCTCCCTGCAAGATATTCATTTTTCTCACTCGGCCTCTCCCTACAAGATATTCATCTCTCTCTGATTACAGATTTTAAGCGGAAGAAATTGGGTTAAGTCGGTCTGATTATTTTTTGTTTTGATCTTTCACCATAGAGTTTTTGAATAAAACAATTTACTTCAGCGCTCTGATATGAGAGTATGGTATCATATCGTTTAACTTACAGGCTATCCTTTACCAACTGAACACACACACACAGACTCGCACCCCCAAGAAAACACTGGCACAGGAAAATGAAGAAGAGCGGGTGATTTTTTTCCAAACTAGTTCACTGATCCTCTCCGACTAAGTGCCTGTGACAGGCTAGCTCCCAGTACCCCACACTCAAGTCCCTGAGTATCTATCCCTTAAGGGATATATTGACTGAATCCCGTATGGCTCGATGTTTGCTAGTCATTAAAAAAAAAAAAAGTTTTGGTATTAACGGTAAATTAGCACAAGTAGTAGCGATCGCTAGAGGCCCAGGTTAGTGCCATTTTTGCGGTGTGTGCTTGGAAGAAAAATTCTGCACTTTTAAGTTCTCAACAATGTTTTAAAAGTTTAAGCCAGACACGCTTTCCAAAATAAATTTCTATGTCGAAGTAAATTCACAGCTATTCCTTTCACTTTAACCTAAATCTTCGTTATTCCAACGACGTGCAACTGGGGGCTTATTTTGTTGGACCTGTGTACACATCAACTCCATGGCAATAAACTGGACCGTCTGAGCTCGACAATACGACAGTAGACAAAACAAATCGTTTGTTTTCGAAATAAGGGCTTTAATTTTATTTACAAATTATAAGAAGCTAATAAGCACACAAACGTTGTGAAAAGTGCACACATTTATTGGTACACAAGTACGTTTGAACAAATATATATGCATTGTAAGAATGTGCGCTTTATACAGTGCCTCTTGACTGAAGACGTTCAAAAAACTCTAAAACTAAAATTCCTTGGAGTGCTCTATCTCTCTGACTTTGGTCAAGGGATCGAGCCCTTATAAGCTGATATTTATCAGCTTAACAGCTATACAAATTAATTATATAATAATGGTACGAATGGTAGAAAATTTCGTCATCTCGATTCTCACTGCGATAAAACTACGTATAAAGTTTGCTCCATAAAGTACATTTCATCTCTTCTCTTTCCTTACTTTAAAATTCTTTTCTCTTTTTTTTTTCCCAACGGGTTTGTTGGTTTTCTTTCTTTTATTATAAATTTTCGACATACTTGGTCAACTGATCTTGTGGCGTGAGTGGTGAATCTTCCTGACCAATTGACAGGTCTGGATCCGTGGAAGTCTGAAGCGGGGGAAGTGGCATTCGAACAGTGCTGAACAGCGGTTTGTCTAAAAGTTGGTTATCCATCTGGGATGTGGCGGCCTGATGCGGCGAGGGCGCAGGCCGTGGAGACGTTAGAGTAGACTGCTGTGGATGTGGGGACATGGTGGGCTGTTGCCGTGGTGATGCCCCTGTCGGATGAGGTTGCGGAGACATGACTGGTCGCGGTGACTGAGAGGGATGAATACCTTGCTGCGGTGACATTGGATTCGCTGACTGTGGAGACATTAAATGCGCCGCAAATGGCGTCTGTTTAGTCTGGAAGTGTTGCGGCAACGACGCCTGTGGTTGACCATTGTGCGGATGCATCATACCTGCCTGTGAATTAGTCAACTGATTTTGCACTTGGCCTCTCCTCAATGCGTTCATTTGCGAGAAAGGAGGCAGTTGAGGTTGTTGAAACATGTTCTGCTGCTGCTGCTGCTGTTGTTGTTGCTGTTGAATATGTTGCTGTTGTTGCTGTTGAAACATTCTTAAAAACTGCTGTTGACTAACACTGGGCTGTGAAGCAACTGGCATTTGTTGCATGGGGTTCTGCATGGAATGCTGCATATTCTGTGGTACAGCATTTGGCATACCTTGATGTATTCCTTGTGGCATTGGATTTTGCATCCCTTGTTGCAAGTTTTGCTGCATACTGGCCATTCCTTGAGCCATATTTTGCTGAATTGTTTGTTGCTGAATGCCAGCTTGTAAGTTGTGCGGCATATTTTGTTGCATATTAGGTTGCATAGTTTGTTGCAAGCCTTGTGACATTCCTTGCTGCATTCCTTGTTGGATTCCTTGCTGCATCCCTTGCTGCATTCCTGGAGGTATACCTTGTTGCTGCTGCTGTTGTTGCTGCTGATGCTGTTGTTGTTGCTGTTGCCGTTGTTTTAAGAATGCCGCCATAAGTTGTGGATGTTGTTTAAGGATGCTTAGTACTTTAGCCTGCTGCTGGGGAGTAGTTGGACCCTTCAGCGTATACAACAGCTGCTGTAGAGAAGCAGGCACACCCATGTTGGATCGGTTCTGTTGAGATCCAACTGAGGCCATCCCTTGCTGTCCTGGCATTTGAGGATACTGTTGTTGTCCACCTGGCATCATGGCGTTGGGGTGGTTCATCTGCTGCTGTTGTTGTTGCTGTTGTTGATGATGTTTGGCGTACCACTCTAACGTAGGAGTGTTTGGTTGGACAGGTGCTCCGGATGAAGGTTGCATTGACTGACCCATTGATTGTTGCATAGGTTGAGGTATGTTTATGGCCGGTTGAAGGCCCTGCCCTATACCTTGCTGCATCAGAGCAGGGTTCTGCGGTCTCATCATAGTTGGTGGTGCCATTGGTCCAGATGGAGATGTCATATTAGGAGGCTGCTGCTGTTGGAATACTTGCTGAGGATGTGGAACATTGCGACCCTGTATACCAATCTGCACACTGTTACTCACAGCTTGCATTGTAGCAACTTGCGCAATTTTTTGTGCTGCCTCAACTGCACGCGGAGGAGGGCCACTAATAACAGGTTTCTGAGGCATGACAGGTGGTTGGTAAGGAGGGGGCTGCTGCTGGGGAGGTTGCAAAGCTGGATGAGACTGTCCCATAGTTCCAGGGCTGGTAATGCCTTGTTGCATTGTCTGGCTTGGCA